GAGCACACACATATATAACTTTAGTTGCCACATACATTTCAGATGTCATTCAGGGGTGATTTATGTGGAGCTGGGATAAAGTAAGGAAATGTGGAAGAAAGAAAGAAGCAAGAAGGGAGTAAAACGGGATTAGGGAGTCCAGGAGGGAGGTACGTGAGAAGGCCAGTGAAATACAGACTGGCAGTCAGTCAGTCAGGGCCTGCAGCGACTGCTTCACTGGGTCCCACCAGAGTAACGACTGTGTAACTACAATCTGCTAATCCTGCAGGCTGGCAGAGGTCCAAGTAAAAACCAGCAGCACCAGTAATGCAGCCAGTTCTCACACCAGCTGGATCTGCCTGCCAGACTGCATGCTGCTCCTGCGTGACTGCATGACTGACTCTCACTAACCCGAGCTAACCGGCTGTTCAGAGCACCACACGTGGATGATGATAATGGAGGAACCTGTGTGCATGTTTGTGCTTTTGAGCGTGCAGGAGGACGAATGTGTGTTGAAGTGGAAGAAAAGCAATCACACAGAGGATGTGAAAATGTGGCAGAGCTTTCAGGAGGCACAATTAATCTCAGTGGCTGAATCAAATTTCAAAAAGTAGAGCAACAGTCATTCACACTATCAGGGAGCAGTAAAAGGTCTTTTAGAGGTGCAGATAATCATTTCCATTATGGAATAACGTGGTGATTATTTGAGCTAAATATTTGGTCTGTTAGCGTGCTGCAGTAGTGTGGTCGGGATATTGTCTGGTGACGGGTTGTGATTAAAGTTTGAAATCAGCAGGTGTGGAGAAAGAAGTGTTTGCCAGACCTCCACAGCTTGAAACTTTATTAGTGATTATTTGCATAACACACCTGAATCTCAATTCAAAAGGTCTCCACACACCATAAAATTGCCCTGTTCACAGACAGATCTGTGATATGAGTTTTAACACAATTTTTATTTTTATTTTTTTAACACAAAGTTTTTGCACGCTCGAATTTTAAAGTGACTACAAAAACATATCAATAGCTGTACTGGCGTTATTTTGAGGATTTGGTCATTTCAGAAGAAGCAACATCAATTGTAGCGTCGGATTTATGGAGCCATGAGTGGAGTGCCAAGTTATCAGTTAAAGTTAGAAATGGGATTGAAAACGGCCTTCATTTATAGGACACTTGGTTAACAAACTGCTCCTATAAACTATACAGGTGCAATGCATCGATACTGATACCTGCTGATGGCTTTGAAGCAACATATAAATAAAATATTACAATTTAATTCACCAAACTTCTGTGTCTATGAGTATGGCTTACAGTGTCAGATAACTACAATAAAACAACAGTACTAGCCAAGAGGTCAGCTAGCTGCCTAGTGGGAACCTACCTGCCAGTAAAAACAGCCATGCCTTTAATAATTCAAAATTTAAGCTGTAATAAAATTCAAATGGGTATTTTATTAGAAGGAAATCAACCTTTATAGTTTTCATGAAGGAAAGAGTTGTATTTGTGCCAGGCTGTTTATTTATGCTCTAAAGTTGGGCATTTTAACAAGTGGTACTTCAGTGTTGTCTTCTTTCAGCCCTGAAGTTTCCCGCTTCTATGACCCACTAGAAGCCAAAAAACTAACAGCTCAAAAAAAACAACCCCTGTTACTTCAGTTTTCGTCATTAGATTAGAAGAATAACAATGCCATACAGATATCTGACATTTAAATGACTACTCACTGTTAATGTAAGTAATATACGGTCTGTTTGTGCAGTTATATTTGCAAGCGAATCGCAGATGAGTGCCTTTGAGTTACTTGATCACGTTGTTGTTTCTCTGACTCTCACATTGACTTGTGTGTAGAATAAACGGGGATCCCTGACAATGGCAGTCTGAGGAGCTTTGAACAAGATGCTGTCTAATCCGCTGTCTCCCCAGAGAGATTAGCCCCGTCACCAGGGTGGGGAATTAAACCACGGCTGGTGTTGGAGAGACCCTGAAAACAAAGCTGAAGTGAGACCCGAGGGGCTGTGGGGGTGCAGATGCACAGTTTTGATGCAGCTGATCAATAAATAAAGTAAACTGTGAATTTGTCAGTAATTGTTGTATTTAAAGAAAAAGGATTTCTGAGAAATATTGAGGTCAAGTTGTAGGGAAAGATCAGAAGAGGTGTAGTTTCCTTCAAGGGCAAACTGTGTCATCTTCAGTCATTTTGACATTTAGCTTTTTCCAGTGTCTAAAAAAATCAGTTTGACAAATTAAATTTAGGGACAAATTTAAGAAATCTGTCTTTTTGTTTCGAGGGAAACCCAGACAGTTGGTGCCACAGTTCGATCAAACAATCAGATCTTGTAAAGGCAGCAGGCCAAGGTTACTCAGCCTATAGAAAAAAAATTTTTTTTTTTGGAGAACAGCAGCTCAGAGGTCAAAATGGACTGAGACTGTGGAGAGAGCGACGGGAGCAGATAAAGAAACATGTTGATAAAGGGAATCGAACAGCAGTTAGGAAATGAAACAAAACTTTGCTGCTCTTTTGAGCAGCAACAGAGAAATGTGCCTCATCTGTGCCCTGCTTGAACTTCTCTGCACGCAAACCTTATAAAATAAAATAAAGTTTCAAATCAAAAACTTTTCATTCAAATTTGTCACAGAAAGCAGCAGACACAGACATCTCTCCGTAACCGTTGCCGCCTGCAGTTTGGTTATGCTCATTTTTGCGCCACCGTTTCTAAGCGGGCGCTCCCTTCCTGTCGCCGAGCCAGCGACTGAGTCAAGGTCCGTTCCTGCTCTGGGCAAAACAGGTTCTCCCTCACACTTTCCATCCGTCTGGCCATGAATGATTCACACTGTCCTTCTGGTCTGTTTAGGATGGCAACAGAGCGTCTGCAGGGAAGAATCTGCTGTATGCCAAGTGAAAATGAGAGTGAGTGAGTGTGTGCTGAAAGAGGAGTAGCCAACACTGATTCTGCTCATTGAGCTATTGCACATCTTTGGTGGGCAGGACAAAAAATCAGTTTTGTTCAATTCAAATGACATGTTCATCCCACCAGTGAACATCCCACGTGCACCTTTCAATCTCTGCTACGTGATTCGACATGAATATGCGATTGGTTAGGTTAATGCAATGGTTTGCAAGCTTTGGTGCTTCAAACCACTAAAGGTTGGATTTTGATCAGCAGTGGATGAGTGGAACTAACAGACCATCTCACTCAAGCTTGCAATCCGAGTAAGACAAAAACAGTTTTCCCAAAAAATGAATAAGAGGAAGCAATATGCTAAAAACTCTTGATACAGTCGACTGCAGCGAGTGACTGTGCTGCTGCTTAGCTCGACCCCAGGGCAGTATTTTTCATCAGTGACCTGCAGTGATTTATATCAGACAATTGGCACTATATAATGTATATATACAATATGTGCCTTTCTGAAGACTAAGGAGTATTAAAATTGTTGTGACAACATGTCACATTTACAGTTGTGGTCAAAAGGTCAAAAATCTGGAGCATGACTATCGTGGTAATTTTGGGCTTTAATTGTCTTTTAAACATCTTCAATTACTTTAAAATTAAAGATGTTTAGCACTTCAGCACTTTGGGCGACACTTGATGTCTTTTAAATGTGTTAAATAAATAAAGATGACTTGACTTGAAAATAAGATACGGGTGCACAACTTTGAATTTATTTTGGATTTTCTCTAATCCGCACACGGTTAAAAGTATACATACAGGCTCAAATATACACATACGTACACCTCCGCTGACACAATAGTCCTGGAACATATTCGAAATATGTAATAATCTATTTAAGGAGAGACTTTAAGATGCTCGAGTTGGTTTTAAAAAAAACCATGAAGACGTTTCACCTCTCATCCGAGAAATCGCTTTCTTTCCAAGCTCCTTAAACTTCCATGACCTGGATGACAAGAACCTACACAGAGATGTGTGATTATGACTGTGACATCAGAAATATTAATATCAAGTTATGCTTCCTAGAAAGGAAGCCACCTGTAGCCCAACTGATCATCAAACCTTTAAATAACCCTGCCGGGGCAGCAGTCTGCTCCTGGAAAAGGCTCTGCATTTATAGAGGGGGATTTCTTCCTCCCTTTCTCTCTCTCGCTTCTCCTCCCCCCTCTCCCTTTCCCCCTCTCTGTGATAATGTATCTTGTCCCAGTCTGATAGAGCTGTAGCTGATGTAAGAAAGTGACTTGATAAAAAATGAATGATTTTATTAGTCAGTAAGACTAAGCTGGTGTGTAGAAGGCCCTGTTTGATCCAGGCTTTGCGTGCGATGCCTACTGTTGTATTAGCTACAGGACAGATTTCCCCACTGGACGGGCAGATGCTTTCCCCTCCGAGCGTCGTGGATGCACCATGTGTCACTGAATCTGAGCCGGGATAAGACGTCTGTCACACTGAGCTATGAATGGGATCTAAAGCACCCTGGTGCATCATACATTACCAGACATGACAGACATTAAACCGCCTTTATCTGAATTCTCAAGTTTTCTGAGTTGAATTAAAAGCAGAATCGTCTCAAGGGGCATTTTAGTTGATTCATATAAATCATATATATTGTCTGTTCAATCTGCCGCTCCATTCAACCGCAGAAAGAGCGACATGCTAGCCAGATGTTAGCCTTGGATGCAGGCTATTACCAGGACAGTCTCTGACAGTAATTATGTCATGATGTGCAATGTGATCTAAAGTAAACACTTCCTTATTAGATCTAGCTTTGACCTGATGATGCCAATGTTATATAACACATGCAGATAGATTAATGCGCTTCTTTTTTCCAGAGTCTTCTTCACATTAGGGAGTTGGCATACACATTAGCAAACGCCATCATCATGATTGTCTATATAAACACTGGCATCGTGATTTATGGAAATATCAATAGAGCTGCAGAGATCCTCCCTAATAGCCTTCTTATGTCTTTATCACTCTGCTTTAATGTTGGCATGTTTTAAAAATTTCTTTCCTTTTGTGCAGCAGTGAAGAAGTTTGTTTCTGATGAGGCGTTTCTTCTGTTTTGCTCTTTTACAGACTGCACTGAGGCGACGAGGTAGCAGGGAAACATTTAAAGACAAGAAATCCACAAGTCAGGTAAATAACAAAAAGATGTCAGTGTTACTCACGCTGCAGAAAGAGAATAACGCGCTTTTTTCAACCCTTTACAGGCGTGGATTAGCAGATTTAAAGAGAAAAGCAGCTTTGATAAAATTAAAGAAAAAAAAAAACATCCTGAAGGCAGAAACAAAGAAATCAAAACAAGAGGAAAGAAAATAGAAAAATAAGTGTGAAGTCAAAAGTTTAAAATGAGAAACCGTAAGTGAAGATAACAGGAAAACAACCAGGCTGCAACATTTAAGCTGAGCCTTCAGCAGAACATTTACTGTAGCCTGCTTACTGCTTTTATCCAGTTCAATAAATGTACTGTTGCCTTCTGGGCTAAATTATGTATCGCAGTGATTTCCAACCTTTTTTTCAGTCTATGTTTGGTCATTTTGGTACATTTTGTAGTCACACGTCCATTTAGAGGCAGAACTGGATGTTCATTGAAATTAGTTAAACACTTGACTCTTTATCCCCCTGTTTCTCATTCTTTTTTAGCTAATTTAAGTAGTTTCTTAAATTATGCATCAGTAATAAAACATTTTCTGTTGCACTGCCTTTGTTCTAGCCATATTTATCAATCATTTATGCAATCCCTGTAATTTAATTATCAAATCTATTATTTTCTCACTTTTAGTTTTAACAACTGGTGATTAGACCTCTGTTTTTTTTCTGTTTCCATGGCTCACTGTGCACATTTTCTTCTTTTCAATAAATTTAGATTTATCATTAGTTTTTAAACTGGTTAATCTATCCATGCACTCCTTGCTGCTATACTGTATTTGCCACTTACTATGAACAAACGGATTTGGTGCTACAAAGCCAGAGTCTGGAGGCATCAGTATTGACTTTTTAAGATAAGATAAACCTTTATTAGTCCCACACATGGGACATTTTTTGGTTACAGCAATAGAATAGAATAAGATAAAATAGAATAACATACTATACAACAAGAATAAAAAACTATATACAATAGAATAAAGTACTATACAAAATAGAATAAAATGCTCTGTTATAGTAGGAAAAAATTGCTGTTGGACTGGATCGGCACTTTTATTGGATGTTTTTAGACAATAACAAAAGTATGAGACGACAGCAGCTTTACTGTCATTTTTATTTCATTAGGAGGACAGTGCGGACCTCAGGTGCCAGCTGCAGTTTGCCAAAGAGGAGTCCAGCCTCATGAGGAAAAAGATGGCCAAGCTCGGCCGTGAAAAGGATGAACTTGAGCAGGAGCTGCAGAAGTACAAATCAGTTTACGGGGACGTGGACAGTCCCCTTCCCCTCGCGGAGTGCTCTGGCGGTGGCCCTCACACCACTCGAGAAGCCGAGCTACGATTGCGTCTCAAGCTGGTGGAGGAGGAGGCTAACATTCTGGGCAGAAAGATTGTGGAGCTGGAGGTGGAGAACCGCAGCTTAAGAGCGGAGAATGAAGACATTCGCTGTCAGTATGAAAGAGACTGCTTTGGGCGTGAGCCTTTCTCCAGCATGCCCTCGTCTCCATATGGCGGCGATGCGCTGGAGTCGGCCACTGAGCTTCGTCGCCATCTCCAGTTTGTCGAGGAGGAGGCTGAGCTGTTGCGCCGCTCCATCTCAGAGATTGAGGACCACAATAGGCAGCTTACGTCTGAACTCAATCGCTTCAAATTTGGACCAAGCAGCACCTCTGGGGCCGTTGGTGAAGAAGGCAGTGAGGGGGTACTGTTTAAACCCGGGAACGGGGGCACGGGTAATGGCTCCAGTAGTGGGATGTTGATGGAGGAGCTTAAATCAGCCAGGATGCAGATCAACGAGCTGAGCGGAAAGGTGATGAAGCTGCAATATGAGAACCGTGTCCTCATGTCTAATGTCCAGCGCTGTGACCTGGCTGCACACTTGGGCCTGCGAACCGGCAGCCCTCGAGACAGCGATGCGGAGAGTGATGCGGGGCGGCGAGAAGCTGCAGAGGATGAGGAAGCAGGGCGACTTCTCCTCCTCCAACCGAAGAGAGAAGGACCTATTGGAGGTGAGAGTGACTCTGAAGATCTGTTTGAGAAAACAGCGACCACCTCGGGGTTTGGAAGCATCAAACCATCAGATGGCAGCGAGCTCAGTGCCACTGAACTGGCCAATCGTAGAAGGGAAGAGCGGGAGTCATTTGCTAATGTGAAGCGAGAGGCAGATAGGCTCGGGAAGACAGTGGACCGTTTGATCACGGACACTGACAGCCTGATCTTTGAGGGCAGGCTCCTGGTGACGACAGGAGAGAGCCTCGAAGGCGGGGCAGCCTCTGGATCCAAACCAGACACTCAAGTCCTGGACACCATTAACACCCGCATGAAGGCTTTCCGCACTGAGCTGCACATCTTTATGGAGAAGCTGGACCACATAGGGGAGGGGCTGAGAGAAAGGACAGATGATCTGTCACCCATGCCAAACCTCACAGAGTCCAGCAGCTTCCTGTCCACCGTCACCTCCATGTCTCGTGACTCTCCCATTGGCACGTTTGGCAGAGACCTGGTGACCGACTTCCAGGTAAGTTCAATGGATAGCCTTCTTCTGACCTTTTCAATACCTTTCTGTACTGTAAGGTGACATGTTTTGGTACACAGAGATGTTCTTTTTCACTTTTTGTTTTTCCAAAAAGAAAAACGTCTCGTGTTCTATAAAAATTGTGAATAAGAACATCAATTAGCATTAAAGCTCCTGATTATTCCAGACAATATTAAGCTTATGAGAAGCAAATATCAAGGCTTCATTAACTTGAAAAGCAGTAGGAAACATTAAATTGTCCAAAAAATGACTTTAACTAGCAGGCCAAATTAAGATGGATACGAGTATACCCAGTGGTATATTGTAAATGTGAGAATTCATTTAGGTTTGAGTTAAATGTCCCTAAGTGTGCAGTCATTAGTACACATTTATGGCCAAAATAAACTAAATGAGAGTCCAAGTCAGCAGAAAAAACATCTCTAATTAAAGGTGCAGCTCTAATTGGCAGCTCATCTTTAGCAGGACACACACTGCACAGCCGTGCCCGTCAAAAGGAATCTCATTAAAGAAAAATGGCGTGAAGGATGGGTTCGGACTTTTTCATTGTCTATCTTCATATAATGCTCGTATGTTGAGTTATGAGAGTGAAGGCTCAATATAATCTTTCAACTCCAATGTAAGAAATGAGGGGTAAAATGTAGGAAAAGTTCCTGTTCTGTGTAAAAATCTGCTTATGAAGCTGCGCATGAAAACTTTGGGGAGTTCTGCTGCCGCTGTGGCTGCTTCATATTCTCGGCTCGAAGCTAAATGAGCTGCCACCAGCGTACCACACAGGACGGGTCGTAGAGAAGACACTTTTACATTCACTATCTTGGGTGCATAAGTATGTTCATACTGACAAGTGAGACTGCATGAAGTGCTCTAAAAGTACGTGGCTAGTACTCATGACCGGCATAAAGCTTTGTGTTGGTCGCCACGGCTGCATATTTGGAAAAAGAGAGAATCTTCAAATATTTATCAGACAAACCGAGGAGGACAGGTGGGGTTTCAGAAAGGAGATGACAGTGCCAGCTAGTCATTGATTAGTATTTGTGTGTTAAATTGTTTTCTTCACCATAAAAGAATTTAATATTAATTCTTATGTGAAGCTTGACAAGTTGCAAACATTCACAAGACATGATGCTAGATGACAGTTGTGGTCAGAGTTCTCGCTTGTCATTTCCAGTAAGTGCAGAACTTTGTTAAAACCTGTCAACATTCATGCAGTGCATCACGTGTCTGCCTAGTAAACTATGTACAGTGTATATATAGTTTATATACTAACTAGGGGGACTATAGTGTCCAATTTGGGGAAACAGTGTCTCTCTCTAATTGTATTAAAGTACTATTTGAGTACTTTTAACTGGTTGAAAAAAATGTCTTACGAAGACCCAGTACAGGCTAAATTTGATAACGTTGATTCCTGAAGCTTTTTGCATAGAGTGAGTAATGGATGTTATATTTTTGTAGTGTGGTTTGGGTTAGTGTAGGTATATAATGGTAGTAAACGAGAGGTAGGGAAAGCAAAAGCCTTCATCTGCTATCTTTGGGTATTTATCTTGTTGATTTTCAGTATCATTGAATCCTCCGGCCTGTTTACATTTAGTTTTGAAATATGTCTTGGAAGGTCAGATCATAAGTGGGCAGTGGTTAGTACTAGTGTAGATGTAGATGAGACGCTTTGTGATATTATAGCTTTTGTGTTTTGGTTAGGCCACAAATCTATTGGAGTATTAATTCTAATGTGTCCTTCAACATTTTTCCAAGGCGGAAATTAGGTTCCCCGCTAATTTCAATAGTTGGAACAGTTCGTTTAGCATTTTATTTTCTATGCTAGGACTTGCAACACAAATTGGGCACCTGATTGGTGTACAGGGACCTTTAACCTCTAGTGCCAGTATTCACAAAGTGTAGGCCAATGACAGCCTTTGCTTGGTGCATCAAGATAGGAAATAATGAGCTTCGTGTCACACTACACCAATTCAAAACAAGATTAAGAGAATTTGAACTGTTCTGTTTTATATGTCATAGCACTCTAATCCTTGGTACCTGGATACAGTTGATGTAAATAAATGCCATCGGTAATGAATAAAAAATATAAAACTGTAAAAGAATCATAAACCACCACTCTGGAATGATTTGTTACAAGTAGAGTGAGGGGAGTTTTCGCAAATGTTAGGCAAATATGTAAACCACTACACTGCAGCTCTTGGCTCCCTAAACTGGACCTCCGTCCTTGACAACCTGGACAACCTGTTTATGACTTGGACAGTAATAAAACACCTGAGAGGCACATGATAAACAAATGCCCAAGATGGATTTTAAAGCAAAGTGTAAACAGGCTCTCTGATTCTTTAGATTAAACACGAGATATCAAAAGTTACCTAAGAGACAATGAGCTTGTTGCAGACAGACGTTTGGCAGTTAAATGCTTTGAAGCATCTCAACTGGTCAACCACCAATAAGGAAACTGAGCTAAGGGTTAGATAAACTGGAAAAGATCCGAACCGTAAGCTTTGAAGGAAGATTGAGATTGAGGGCCGTAATAAACCTCCAGGGCTTTAGTAACACACAGCGTCAGGCCCCACACTCACCCCAGCTCGACCACACTGGCACCACCGCCACCCCTCCCCAGACCCACTGCCACCACCATTGCTTCCTGCTGCTGCTGTTGCTGCTGCTTTCACATCTGCATCTTCATGCGCATCCTCATAGCCAGAATCTCTGCCTGCCTGCCTGCCTCCCTCTCCATGCACTCACTGTCTGCAGCTGCCCTGCTTCCAGTCAGCCAAGGCCAAAGGAGAGTGGCTGGCTTAAGAGGGTGCTTGAAAGATTGCTTGGTGTGAATGGAGTAAGTACTAAAGGAGTTTAGCAGCTTCTTCCACTTGGCTCGACTTTCTTGACACTACAAATTGCCGCATGAAGTTCAGTTGGTATTTTTCTCTTTATAGCTCCGCTGCACGATACTATCATTACTGTGACTCATTATGACACAAAAATGGTGTAGCTGTTATGTGTGCACAACATATCATCACGCATACACAGACACACGTGGGATTGGATACTCCATGGTGTTGTCAAGGAGACAAACCATAAAAATGTGTGCACTCACTAAAATAACCTGTGCTAGACCAAAAAAAGAGTGAAACGTTGTTGCATGGCAGTGTGAGTTGCCTGTGGAAGAACCTCGCTGGCTGGCATCCTGCTTTCTGTCCTTGTTTTATCGCGTCCTTGTTTTATAGTTTAAATCAACATGTCAACATACAGTGTACTCTACCAAAGCAGGTTCATTAGTTCTGTGCTGCATGATCAGGCCGACATCTTGGATGTCATTTCTAATTAGCCAGACTGTCGTATGGAATAAAACAAACAGCTCTTTAAACATCTCTCCCTTGAAGAACCCAGTGTGCTTTGTAGAGATAATAGAGTGAAGCTGCCTCCATACTCATTCTGTCCAAGGACTTGTTTCTGCTTTGCTCCTCTGCCTGTAGGATTCACTTGTTAGTCTGGGTGAAGCTGGGTGGGTTAGTTAAAGCTAACCGCTGAACTAACAACCTTGACTTGTTCCAAAAGAAAAAGAAAAAAGCCTTCAAGCACTGAGAGCTGCTGAAGGTGGATTAAGCTTCAGAATGTAATTAATGTAGTTAATATGTGTGTAATAAATTTAAATATGAAGCTCTTTATAAAAGTGCATTCAGAAAGGAGTAAAAATAAGCATTTTCATGTAATTATTTTGTAATTTTTTTTGTAATTCTACCTGAAAACGATCATTAAAACGTCTCTTTATGACTAAGTATGTTGTGTCAATAAGAAGCATATTTAATTAATTATACAATTTAACATGTGTTCTCAATTAAAACATTCATATGTATAGATTCACCCTTAAAAACACTGATTTTTTTCCTACATTATAACTAACCATCTCGGTATTTTCTCATTCTCAGATTTCTCTCAGTTATAATTATGACAATTTATCTATTTGAAAATATTTTTATTAACGTGAGTTCCAAATTACAAAAATGGCTCGGCAGTACTGAAATTTTGTAATAACATTGTGATAATGAAACCTCAATTATATTGAGAGCAAAACCCTTAAAATGAAAAATGCAGGTTTTGTGATTATGGGATTTTTATGATATTAAAATGTTATAATCAAAACAACAGCTTAGTTTGAATATATTATTGTAATAATGACAAAAACCTCATATACTTATTTATGAGGCTCTGAATAAGTTGTTCTTAACTTAGACGATAGTTTCTGAATGATTCTCAAACACTCATGGAAAATATTGTCAACATTGCAAGATATAGAAAGAAAAACTATAAGAAATTAGAGCACATCCTGCATTAGGATTGCAACAACTGTAACACCAATTATATCTCACACTGCAGCCATGTAAAATATTAAATGTTAAATATTCTCTAAACTTATTTGATATATAGAATAAAATGCATTAAAAGAGAGAGAGACTCTGTGACAGAGGCGTGAAGAGGGAAAAGGACCATGGGCCCCCTGGTGCCCCTTATTCAGTAATCATAAGATGGATCCCATCTATCTTTTGACCCCAGCTACCTATTTATTAAACTTTTGGGAACAACAATTTACAATGTTGCTGCATTTTTCCATTGACAAAACCCAAACAGACAAACACACATGACAAAATTCCCAAAGCTGCATTCGGGGGATTTCCAGCTAAAGTTTCGTTGGCAATGCTAAATTTTCGAAAGACGACACGGACTCACAAGGTGGAAACAATAAAAGTCGCTCTGTTGTAGCATATAAACTTACCGTTGTTTTTTTTTTCTTTGATAAATACCTTACCTCTTTGGTATGATGACTTACCTGCTTGCTAGTAGCAATATTACACTCGAAGAAACGTGTGAGCACTGCTACAAATGAGGCAACTAGCATGTTGCTACAAAAGCTTGACCGAAGCCTCCAATGACTTCAGTGTATTTTCAATGCTGTACTGTCTGAAAACAATGTGCATCATACAGGCTCAAGATGCAACTTCCCTTTAGTTTACTGCTTCTACGACACACACGGCTGTGCACGGGCATGTGTTGAAAACCTTTTAGCGTGCTAGCTCTGCAGTTTGCCGCGGTATCTCTCAGCTGTTGGTTTGGACTCATGTATCCCTCATTGCATGCGCTTCATAACAAGTGTTTTGCATTCTTTTCCTCCCCGATTCCCTCTCTTTGTTCCTCTTTGTGTTCCCGCCAGATGTTTCAGCCCATGATTTTGTTCATCCTCATTCTCGTTCTCTTCTCATCTCTCTCATACGCCGTCATCTTTAAGTTGGTCTTCCTCTTTGCGCTCTTCTTCGTACTGTAGTCCGTTTGTGTAGTCTGTTAGTTGATTATTACCCCCACCCACCCCTCGGCTTATCTTCTTTACCCATTTTCTGTTTTTGTTTTTCTCTGCCCGCTTTCTCGTCCCCCTCACACTGTTTGGTGTCTTCTGTCTTTGTTGTCCACAACCCACCTCACACATCTTTCCCTCTCCAATACCACCATCACCACCACCACCTGCACCCCTGTATCCCGCACCTGTCACCCATCCCCCTAATCCCTTACACCCACCATCCACACTACCCCCCACCCCCTTTCCCCTCCCTTCCCTCTCCTTCCCTCTCCCCACCCCACGACACTCACAGTCCGGTCAGAGGGATGAGCTGGAGTGGCGTCTAGGACAGGAGCGAGGCGTGGAGCCCCAGAGCCAGAGCCAGGGTGGGGGCCAGGCCCAGAGCAGGGGAGCCACTGGACTCACTAGGTACCACAGGCCCCTGGCTTTAAAAGTAGAGGTCAGTGCCTCCTCCATCTCCCTTCTGCTAAGTCTGAACCATAAATCTGGACAGTTTTTCTTTTCTTTTTTTTTTTTGACCTGAACACTGTTTTTATATTACTCCATCGCCAACTGATTCAAATGATCTGCAGGGTGAATAACTGTCAAGTGCAGCTCTGCAGGATGAATGTGAACTCCAAACAGCAACTCCAAAACTAACTCAAACATTTAGATCTCAACATATTGATATGTGCAAAGCTTTGAGGCATCCTATTTACATACTTTATTTCCTCTCCTGAGAGTTGCAGCTCCAGATTTTTCTAGCGCTAACCTGACACTAGTATTTAAGATACCTTTGAAATGGAAGTGATCTGTGCATGCCAGCTGATGATATCTGTTCTGTTACACTTGTGACATTGTTTGGTGATAGTCAGGGGTTTCCAGTTTGGAGTTGATTTTTGGAGTTGACTCAAGTTGAACACTTAGGTACAGGTACAGGTCAAATGTAAAGTTCGATTTCACAGATTACTTATAAATTAAAGAAAAAAAGCACAAGTTATGTTGATCCCTAACAAAGGCATCTTACATTACATCCAAATACACTCCAAATTTGGCTGATTGTAAATGACAGTGGGTTAAATTTGAACTGTCCAGAAGGCCTCTAAGTCCAGCATGTCTAGTGACACTCCAGCCACGGTCACTTCTTGATGAACACGATGTCACTTCATCCACTCGCTCTACTTCCACACTAAAATCCACTCCCACGGCTACTGATGTTCGATTTATTTTATTTCTCCTTTGGTTTCACATTTTCTTCTTTCTTTGAAAATTTGTATCACCCCTGGAAGTAGGTTTGATTACCGATAAAAGTTCAAAGGAGCTTGAAAACATTTTGCTCATTCATTGCAGCAGATTTGCTGATCCTGTATGCATCTGCGGGTGGGCGGGCAGTTTGTTGCTCTTTTAAACAGCAGCCGTGTACAACTGCAGTACATTAGGATGACTTGTTAGGCCTGTGTGTGTATTTAGTGTATTATAACTGAATCTGCAGGCAGTGCACTCTGCAACGATGCCCTCTGGCTCTGGTTCATCACTGCCAGTATTGCTTTCGTGATTCAGCATATTTAATGTATGTAAAAGTGCAGCTGACACAGGGGAACCTCAATACCCACACCCCTCCCCTCACACACACAGAAGATCAAAGACCTGAGCGCTACCAGCACACATCATCTCAGATCTGGTAGCTCGTTCGGTGACTCGGCTGATTAATAAACTGGCTGTGTAATCGCAGGACACCGTGATTCATAATCGCTGCCTCATGTTTGTGCTCATAGAGAAATTGCCGGTTGTTATGTAATGCAGAGCACTGGCAGCAGCGACAGCGATGTGACACACAACTATTACAGTTACAGTTATAGCACATTCGTGTGGATTTCTTTTTATCCCCGCGCTCTCTGCTGCAGTATAATCTGCGAGGTGCAGTGCATGAATGGGGAAAGCAGCTTGGATATGGCAGGATTAGCAGTGCACTGTTGGCCTGTGTGATTTGCATTTGACATTGGGCTGACAGGGAGGCGATCCAGGGTCAGTACACGCTGAACAGCTCAACTCGCTGTTGGAGGGTACAGTATAGTCCCAGCAAAGGATAGAGAAGAGAAATCGCATTATAAATTGCTGCAATTTCCAAATTGTCAGTCTGCAGTTTGGGGTATTTTTAGAGGGAAAGATGCGGATGTCTTATGAGAGAGCTGAAGACAAATCATCACATTCAAAACCATAAACATGGACATATCATTTCCCTAAGAGCATTTTTATCTCACTTGTAGTTAAACAAATTTTGCCAATTCCTTTTGCAGTTGGCATGTAATATTTTAGCTTTAATTTTTTTAGCACCACAGTTTTTTTTCCAGCATTTTAATTATTTTAATGCACTTTATCACTTGGTAATTTTTGCAAGTTAGTTAATATTTAATTGGATATTAACTCATTTTCATATTTAAAGTTTAATCAGTTGAACTGCAAATTCTCCATTTATTAGTGCATTAACAATTTTCGCATGTTTAGAAAGATTTATTTTGGAGATAGAAATCATTCTACACCTGCCCGATTAGACATGAAGCAACTCTTTGGTAATTCACAAAAAAATGAAAAAGTCCAGTGCTTGAAATTTGATCATAAAGCTTTGATGCTGCTAAATAAAGAAACAGTCCAGCCTGAAATGAGCAGCATTAAATCCTAATCATTTCTCGAGATGCTGCTGAAGAAGCTTTAATGGGTTTTTTTGCTTGCACAAAACTCGGATCTCATTTGAGGGGTTTTTTCCCCTCATCTTCCTTGGTGAGTTTTTATTTTGCAGTGGATTGAAAATTATAAATATGATCAAGTAGAATAATCTCGCCCACAAATCCCTGTTTGACTTTCAATTATAGCTTCAAGACCGATCGTGAGATATCGGTATGTGTGTAAATTTATCCAGGGATATGGTTAAATAATTGTTTGCTGTGCTGTTGTGGGTTCAGCTCCGGGACACGCCTGCTTCTGACATCCAGTTTCGTCTGGATCACGAGCGAAGGATGAGGGCGGCAACGGAGGAACGGGAGGCCGTCGCTTCTCTGCCTCAGGTACGGTTATTCAGTCTGAACACCTTCAGAGAATGAGCGCAGGAGCAGCGGCATCACTCTTTGCTGGGTTTTCTATCTTTGCTGGTTGAGCAGAATTTTAAGTGCACGACACCATCTGATGGGAAAGAAAGTTTCAGTATTTTTATTGAATGAATATTTTTAGCCCAACACTGATGTGATACAGTCTTCAGTGTGCGTTATCAATGAAACTGCTCTTCATTTGATTCAAGTTTGAGTTTAATTCTACTTAGCTTTGCAACAAAATTTGTTTTTGTTCATAATTTTGTCTTTTTTTTTCCTTATGTTTTGTATTTTTGGTACTTTATGATTTATCCCCAAGTGTCTCTTGGGTAATTTGATTCCAAATCATCAAATTTCTGACCATTTTCTGCTCAACTGTCACCAATTTACATATAAACTTTATGGTCCAGAGTTTATATATACTGATTGGTGTGAAATTTTAGCTTTATATATCAGATATTTTTAAGATATAGTTTTTGAAAAATGGGCCATTGACCCACTTCCAACACACACACATCTCAAAAACTATTGAACATAAAAACCTGAAGTTTTCACTGGCCTCTTTATTACCATCAAAATGAATCAGGATCCATAATCTGGCACATAATACATTTTCTTTTAAAAACAAGTTTGTGGATTGGCTGGTTAAAATGTGAAAATTTATTCAGATTTTTCAGTGCTGTAAAGCATTTTTGCAAAGTCTCATATTTGACGACACACTAAAGAAAAGCTTCACACTGGAAAAGACGACTAGTGACAGTTTCTCAGGTGTATTTTACAATACCATAAAATAAAACATACGTTTTAGCATGCTGGAGTACAAAAACAAAGATATTAGTGGAAGGTCGAATCCAAATAAACAAAGATTTTATATGTATGTATGTATTTGATAGATCTGTTTTGTTTATTTCACTATATGAATGGAGGGTTTTTTTGCAGCAGGATGATGAGCGTTTACGTCTGGAGGCCCAGCGTGAGGGTCTGGAGCTGCAGGGCCTTCAGACTCACGAGGTGCCCTGGGCTCAGGAGAGAGCCATGCTGCAACAAGAGGTCCGCCTCTATAGACGTAACATCATCATCATCTACATGAAGCTCAGGTGGATCCTTATGCACTGGAGGCTCGGACGCAAGGAAGACTCTGGAGACGACTCGGTGCACCCAGAGGTGAGTCCGACAGGGGTTTTGTGGACTTACTTTTTACTTCAGCTTTTATCGATGAAATGATTCTCTTCATTTTTTTAGCGCTTTGACTCTTCATTGCACCAGAAACCGGACACAAGTGATGATGAAGCAAAGAAATAATTGTTAATAAAATAATAATTAGGGAATGAAAGGGAAAGGATCAAAGAGTTGAAGCAGAAAATTATTTTTTTTCTTCTTTTTTTTAACTTTTGCCCCGCAGCCAGCTGAGTCTGATGAATTTTTCAATATTTTTCGCTTCACTCTCTTGTGGGGGACTTTGCACAGAATCCAGAAACAGTTGTTGGTTTTACCTTTTGCATCATCCATGAAGATGATCTGGTGCACAGAAGTCAGGATTTTGGATTTATTCCATTACTCTCATCATCCAGTGAGAATTAAAGGTAACCGTGGATATACTGAATAATAAATAAAGTTCTAGGAAGCTGGAAATCAGTGCAGATATGCTGTCGGAGTAACCCAAGTCCCTTAAAAATGCTGCAGATAAGGTGGGTTGTGGTTTAAGTCAATCATTAGGAACAACACGAGGAAAACGACAACAAACAAGTGACTCATCCTGATTCACTTCCAGCTGTGCCTCTTACTGGTGTGTACGTCCCACCTGCAGGACCGATGGTTAATTGGTTGGCCGGCTGATTGAGCAACTCCATTAGTTGCTCACCTTGTTGATTCAGCGGTCGATGTTTTCCTTGTTATCTTCTCCTGCCCCTGGTTGATTAAACTCCTAATTTCTAAGATTCATGTGTTTAGTTTTGTTTTTCTTAGATGAATACACTCACTGGATTACTCTATGCACCGCAGCCAGCAGTGATAACTTCTTTTCCTTTAATTTTCTCCTGATGGACAATTTATTTTCTTTCTTCGAATGAGCTGTTTTTGCATAATTCTGTGCTGCTGTTTCTAAATCCCTCGTTTTTTTTTCTATCCTGACTCATCGAAGCCTAATTTGTGTGCAGATGGTGGAGCAGCGAGTTACCAGCAGGTTTCTTTCTGTGTGTTTATATCGTCCTTATCTTACCTTGACCTTAAATCTCAATTAAACGTGATTTTTTTAAAATATCCTTTAATCATCATAATACCCTCAAAGAGCTTTACAGTCCTTAGATTCAGAAACCGTAAAGCAAATTGATGCTTCTCACCTTTAAAAAACAAAAAAAAAGGTTGAAAAAAGAAAGAGCTGCTGAACTTATTTTGGTGTTTAGTCTGCAAAGGCTCAAGGCTGCTGAGACCATGTGTTTGAGATTTCACTGGCTTTGTTGTTAGAATAACTTCAGTTTATTGACGCTAAACATGATCGGAGAGGAAAACTCTCCAATCACGTGGAGAGAATAATTAATCTACTCAAATTCAAGTAACTTTATTTATTCACGATTCTATATTGAGAACATTCTCATTTGCACATTGTCCTGTGTCAGGACACTTGAAACAAAAGCCATCCTAGTAAGAATAATAAATACACTCAAATGTACACCACCAATAGAAGATGGTGTAGTTGTGAATAAGTTTACTTTACTTCGGGCAACTTTTACACAACTGTAAATCCTGGATGGGGTCAGCCTTCAATCAGAACATCCACCTGCAGGCTGGATAAGCCAAGGAACGAGTGTCCTCTCGTTCCTTGGCCGCAAGACGGTGAACCTCAGATTGCCCTGATGGGTGAATGCAGGGTGTAGTGTGAACCGTAAAAGGTTTAAATAGCATTAAAGAGCATTAAATACAATTTAAAAAGCATTAATATGGTATAAGTATAACACATGAAGAAATCAAATGAGTCAGCTTCAGTTGCTTCTGCTGTGTTTTTTCTGTCAGAGTGTCGAGAAACATTTGAAATCTTTTGGATTTTTTTTTGCTTGTTTGTTTTGGGTTTTTTGAGGATCTTCTGATTGATGCGCTCCATAGACCTGAATGAATGATTTTTGCCTCTAGGCTATTTCACTGGAACAGAAAGCATAAAGAGCACTGAGCTCCTCTAACTGACAGGGAAGGCCATACTACACTTCTGTACAAGTCACACTGAGATGGCTGTGATATGTAACGTCTAAAGCACAAAGCAGCAAGCACTCTATCCGCCTCAAATACGGAAAGATCTGTAAGTGCATGCTGTTCCTTCTGCAAATGTTCTCCGTGATTCCCTTCACTGCTGACCTCGGTCAGACGTATGTCTTTGCTGACATGCGTGCAACGATATAGGACGAAACTACATTTCTAGCACCAGGACCAGGGTTCCGTTTCACAGACTCAGAGTATAATAGAAACTAGTCCAAAGCAGTTGAGTCAGTGGCAATCTTAACTCGGTAATCCCAAGTATGTTTGAAACATGAGGTTTTTTAAACGTTTACATCATAAGTGTGATTTTGTGTGTGTGTGTGTTATTTAATGTGCAACTAGCTGCTATTTTTTTAAAGGTTTCACAGCATTACACCACGCTCGATCATTTGTTTTGCTTTCTATCTGTTGCATCAAATTTATTAGAGTTACAGCCGAGACTTTTTGGAACAAGTTCAATAACATCGGTATCTGCGGCGTTACAGAGCTCCCATTTATTAAAAATGCCCTTTTTCCTTTTTTCGCTGGAGTTTTGCCTCACTGTCACCTGGTGATAAGGAGACGGCGACTTATTGTGTTTCAAAATTCTCCCGTGTGTCTCTTATCCTTGGAGCCCAGAGATTTTCATTTGAGGGCTTAGAGTTGTGGAGCTTTGACTGACTGAATTTCGAGGATGTTTTTCAGGTGGAAAATTAAGGAATTAAATGGGTGAAGGAGCCGATTATCCAGCTGTCAAAAAAGGGAAAAAATAATAATAATTTTTGGATAACTTAAGTGTGAGTTCATTTCCTCCAAAAATAACCCAGACTGAATACTTGTGTGGTTTAAACTCGCGGGTAGGGATTTTGAGCAGGACTTGTTGTTTGTATTAGATAGCTCAGATGTGTTGGTGAAAGACTTGGGTGTGTCTCTACCTTCTGTCTGTTGCATGCTGGGAAAGGCTCAGCGATTGTGAGCCTGAAACAGAATGTGTTGGTACACAACAAAAAAACCCACAAACTAAGCGCACGAATGAAAACATGGCTTTTTGTTGCTCTATCATCTGTTCCAGTTTGAGAAGTTGGAGGGCTTCCCAGAGTTGGGAGTGATCATGGAGCAGGCGGAGGGGGAGTCGGACCGAGACGACAGACTGTGTTTACCACAGACTCCAGGGGACGTCCCCGACACCACACCCATCATCCCTCTGCCGTCACCTGACCGTCACCTGCAGCACCAAAGACAGGTACAGCGCCTCTTACAGCAGCTCCACTGTCACACACGCTTTATGAAAAGGCAGACACCGTTTTAGAGACACCCGTTCAGCTGCTCATTAACATGATTAGTTGATTAGCCAATCATATGGCAGCAACTTGGTCTTTCGTGTCATGTAGGCATGGTCAAGACAACCTGGTTTAGAAATCGATGAGTCTCGACTTCTGCTGCAACATTCAGATGGTGGAGTCAGAATTTACTGTAAACATGATGAAACCATGAAACCATCCTGGCTTGTATGAATAGATCAGGTTGCGAGTAGGTCTGTAAGGGTGTGGGGAATTTCTTTTGGCACACTTTGGACCCCAAAGTACC